ACGCGTCCTGGCCAGGATTTCTATATTGCCTAAAATATCTAGGTTTTGGCTTTGTTTGCGTGTGCAGACCGATCAGACGGTTCCTTATGCTTTCAAAATGCTCTCGAGGTACTCTGATGTCAAACACTGATCGATCTGAGCCGCGCTGCTTTTAAGTCGACCACATATCCTATGTACGCGTAATTGCATCGCTTTGACCGTAGATCCCACCCTCTCTCACACACCATGATTGGTCCATTATGTACAATTCCTGCATGTTATTGGTCAAACTATTTTTCTATCATTACCTTCAGCAAGCATGAAAACAGGAAAAAACAAAGCCAAAAGAAATCCTGGCAAGGACGCGTCCTGGGAAAATGGCACGCATGGTCACCCTACCTTATAGTCTACGTTTTATTTGGCTGCTTGTATTTTTCCCCATTATTTTTCTGTTGCCTGAATATTCTTTGTAAGGATAAATCCAGAGGATACATCTTAATATACTGCAAAAGTCAGGAGAAATGGTGAAGATGCACTGTTCCTGCATTGGAAGACTGTAATTTTAAAAAGTCTAAAATGTCATTTAGGAACTAAAATAGGACAATATTTATATTTTTTTCATTCTGCATTTCCTTTTAATCCATTTGCATGCAAGTTCACACAATGATCTTTCTTAAACCCATTAAGAAACTCGAATTATTTCAATTGAATCAACGAATCACATGAATCAATGCTAATATAAATACAAAACAACGATCTATCCTGGATTCATGCATTTTCCGGTTATCTCTCTTCTTTTTTTCTTCTTGTTTCAGGTGCCAATATGAAGATGCGTTTTGATGGAAGATGCAGTCAAATGTTTAACACAACACATTTCTGGGTTTTAAAAAAGTTGAATGCTTTGTTCGAGACTCCGGTCTCCATTGTTCTGGTCCAAGATTAAATAAAAATTATATAAAAATACATTTAGTTAAGCATTGGCATGAAAATCATACCAACAGGTGTCGTTCATGCGAAATGAACAGTTTGAGTCAGGTTTATGGCACAGTCTACTCATGCAGCAATCATCATCATTTCCGCATCTTTGGAAGGTCTTCTGTCCTCCACCAGCAGATTTATCATACTCTCGGACTTGATGAGCAGATTGCACCCCAGAAAAAAGATGCCGAAAATGACAGTCAGTGACAGCACACAGAGAACCGCTATCTGCACCAAACGCATGAAGAACTGATCGCGCTCGTCCTGAACCGGTGAACCGAACCCGTCGCTGGTGATCACCGAGAAGTTGCAGCATCCTCGGACGCTTTCCAAAGGCTGCTTCGTTGTAGAGATCGTCCGGTTCAGTAGCACGTGTGAAACATTCATGTCGCGTTTTCGGTGGCGTTTTGTAACGCGTATTAATGTTTTAAAACTTCCAAAGGGTCCTGAGTTTTCCAAGGTCACTTGTGCGTTTCCGTGGATATTATAGTTCAAAAGAAAAAACAGTCGTCAAAGCGTCGGTTAGTGGCAGATAGTCTGGTTTATTTGTGATATATGATGGAGTACATCATCCAGGCATCTCTGCAGCAGTCTCAGTGATGTCTGGAAGAGCGCACTCCGGTATTTTAGTGAGAGGCACACATTTTCTTCTGAACTCAGAGGGGTAAGGGGCGGGGGTCTTAAAAGGATGTGCCTGTTTTGGCAGCGTTTTCAAACCTTTCCTTTCCTGCTCAAAGGCAGGAAAGACTTTTTTCTAACTAACACTATAAGTGTGTCCCATCAGGTAATGAAAAGTTCTACAAACACTTGTGGTCTTCATGCTCACTTGAACACTTGGATGAAATACAGGAAATACGTCATATAAGCAGTGTTGGGGAAAGTTACTTTTAAAAGTAATGCATTACAATATTGCGTTACTCCATAAAAAAGTAACTAATTACGTTACTTAGTTACTTTTTGTGGAAAGTAATGCGTTACGTTACTTTTGCGTTACTTTTCAAATCTGGACAGGGCTTGCTTGTTTGTTTTTAAAATAAAAAAAGTTCTATTTTTGGCAAATATAAAAGCCTTTTCACACCAAAAGTGAAATGAATAAGCCTCAGGCTGAAGGGAAAGTACATTTACGTCCGTACAGTAGAATGCAGAAGAAGACATTTCAACACGCTTCAGCAATAAACAAAGACACACAAATGTTTGTCTAGAGTAATTTGTGCTTATTAGTACGGTTGAACTGGATCATCGAAGGTCAGAAGCAAATAGAATGGGATTAAATGCATAAAGCATATTTGTGTTGTTTAACATTTAATTATTGCAGGTTTACGTCATATTCTGAGTTGCATTATTTTTATTCATTTTGAGCAATACTGAATCTGTGTTGTTTTTTGTGAGTGAGATTAATTAATGCATATATTTATTTTAGAACTGCAGTAACATCTGATTTCTCTCAACATGAGGACAGGAGAGCTGCCAATCAATCAATTGCTTTAAAAAAAAGTAACGTGCGTTACTTATTTGAAAAAGTAACTCAGATATTCTCTTGTAAATTAAAAAGTAATGCGTTATTTTACTAGTTACTTGAAAAAAGTAATCTAATTACGTAACTCGCGTTACTTGTAATGCGTTACCCCCAACACTGCATATAAGTGGTCAAGGGCAAAGACTGCAAGTGCGGGTATTTGGACAAGGGCAAAATCTGAAGTAGCCTAAATTCAATATCAAATGTATATATTTCAGATTGCGAAAAGTATGAAAATATAATTTATTTAAGCGTATCCAGGATAGGCAACATAAAATGCTTGCTATGAAATTAGTTTTAGAAGGATATTCCAAAAATGATTAAACTATAATTTCCATCCCAGTATTTTGAGATGTGATAAAATTACATTTTGTTAATTTGGTCTAGACTCTAGAGTTTCAGTTACAAATCTACAACATAATTATCTATACTGTTACGACCCACTGTCGAAAATTGTAATAACAAATTAAGTAAACGAATGAGTGTAAATTGTGAGTCTTGAGGTTTAATTTATAAATATCCACATATATCTTTATAAATAGCCAAAATGTCCAATAGCGGAAAGAAGCAGTGATTCGAATAACGTGGTGTAGCTCTACTCAGAACGCTAGATGGCAGTATTACCCTGCTTTACCAGTGTAGCTGGCTGTACCTAGGTGTTTTCTGGACCATTACACTTATCAGAAGATCCGTTTTAAAAAGCTTTCAAATAGTTATAAACCTCCAGTGTCAATGCACCTACAGCAGTTAAGACTTTAGCATTTAGTTTACATAAAACTTACCCCTGTCATCGTGAATACCCCCCAGTGACATAGTGAAATTGAAAAACTATAGCTTTTTGTGTTAGAAAAATCAAGACATTTTAAAGAAGTAAGTAGATATTCTTTATTTAAATCCATATTAAATCCGAATTCAGGCTTTGGATGCTTTGGTGTTGGCCATAAACTTTCACAACACTGAGAAAACACACAAATGAGCACAAGTTCAGTTTTTTTCATGTTATATTGCTTTTACATCCTTGATGGCATAACTTATTTTTTGAATGCTAAAGCAATTCAAATGTATGCAAAAAGGTGATTTTCAAGTGCACACTTTTTTTGCCCTGCATTCTTGATGAAAACATCAAATGATATAAAGAATTGTAGACTATCTCTCCTTTTTATGTCACACTTATCTGAAGTTCATCACAGCCTGTGTATATGGATAGTTCTTAGTGTTACAGAAAGTTATATTATGTTATTTGAACTATTTGAATGTCTTAAATGACAAACACTTCAATTGTGAAGGACTAAATTGCTTTCATCTGTAGATGGCGTACATCCTGATAGCAGTGCTCAGCTATGCACCTTCAACCTTTTGCTTTTTAGAACACATATGTAATTGCTGGTTTACGATTACTCTCTGAGAAGAGGCTGATGATCTTTGCAGATGTGTGACAGCCTTTTGACATTATCTAATTAATATTATACAACAGCTAGTTCCGATCCTTTAAATTGATTGGGCCATTCCAAGAGAGCTGATACAGTCCAGCAGCACTGGAACTTTTCACTGTTTGTATCACTTCGATTGAACATGTTAGTGGCGTTCAAGACAAACTTGCAGTGCAAATATTGATCATGCTTAGCTGCATTTGGAACTGCATTTGGAACATTTAGAACTGGAATATTGGTAGCCGGTAAATTAGTCACCACCATGTTGTTAGCAACTTGTTTCCGTTTTAACAATGGCACAGGATTTTTCTCAGGTCCAGGTGAGAGTGATGGCGTCGCTTACATTTGCAAAGTAGTGTGATAATCCCAGAGGGGCCTGACTTCGTGAACACGCACTCCGTCACATCTAAGTGCCGTTATTGATTTCATGTGATGAGTGGTTATTTTTAAACTCAAGGCTAATGTTAGGGACCGGCAATCCCCCCCACGACACCCTTCTGAAAGGCCAAAATATAAATCCTCTGGGGAACAACGTGTACACTGATAGGAATCTATGCCTGTAGTGTGTGGGAGAGATAGAGAGAGAGAGTGTGTATTAGCAGTTTAGAATGTGCTCTCATGTTTATGTGTTTTTGTAAGATATAAAATATGCAGTTTAGGTCTAATAGCTACTACTTTATATTTACAACAGAACGGTTGGCGTAGTTGCATTCTGTAAAAGAATAAACCTGCTCAGCCAGTTTCATAGACAAGATCCTGCCTATTGTGGCTGACAAAACATGTGAATTGTGTGAAATGCTAATTAATACAAACAAAGAAATTTTACTATATTTCAGTTGAAATGTGTGACATTCTCACCGTGTCTTGTGGTAAAGCTGGTTTTCTAACAGTTGTGTTTTAACAGTACAGTTGCTGGGTGAAAAGGCCTCACTACACATATTGAAGCATTCCCTGCGGGTCTTGCCGATCTAAGAGGGGGTCCCTACGTGACCAGCTGAGCATTAATATTTCAGTTTAATGAGATTTTCTTTAATAAGATAAAGGAGCTCAATATAGTTTAAATATAGTTGAGTTTGTTTAATTTATTTGATGGCATTTTTTACCAAGCTTGATGTTCTCATCTGGTCTCCCATTGAGATCACATTACAATATTTTTCAGGACTATTTGTTGATTTTCCTTTGAATTTTCTCCTATTTCAGGCAGAAGAACGAACTGAGAGTACAGACTTGTATCAGAGCTGAATTATGGTGTTAGGAATAAAGAATCTGTGTGATTATTCCTTGGGATAAGGCTTTCTCTGTTGAGTGGGAAGGCTCATGTCCGGGAGCTGTTCTGTGATTTCTTTTATAATCTGTCCAAGCATTCATTCAAATGGAACGATTGAGTGTTGAATTGAAACAAGTGCTGGATGAAAATAACTAGAGATCCTCATTTTTAACACTTGAGTCATACAACATCCATCTATCTTTATCTATTATCCTTCTCTTATACTCCATCATTAGGATTCTGTCTCTCCCTTGTCCTCTCAACACCCCTAATTTACAACTACAAGGCCATCTTATCATAGATGAAACATGACACATTTTCACACTGCATGATAGACCACACGATGCCCAATCTGCATGGATTGGTTTAGCATGTTCAGACTGTCATAAGTTCAGTGTGCACAGTAAATGTTCCCTCCGCTTTATGCTCCGCTTGCTATCGATCATATGGCAGCTGCACCTGTTTAGTGCATGACAAGTCATTAACAACACTTTGTCAACTCTTTCACTGAGTCTAAATGGGCTCACAGTTTATTAAAATAGCCCTGCTCTCTGTACCAGAGTGAGAAAGGCTGCAGGAGAATCAGGAAAGAATTATATTACAAATAATACAAAGTTGCTAATGCATGTTTAAGGCTAAATCCAGGAGAAGGACTGAAAGAACTGAACTGAACTTAAGAACTGAAAGGCTGTCAATGACTTTATATATACACACCTGTAGTGTCTGGTTATGAGGGTCCTGCATATGTTCATTCTGTGCCTCCTTGTTCCTGGACTGTGGAAGAACTCAGAACAACCTTTGGACTCTTATCCAGTTATCTTATCCTTGCAGCTCTCCATTGAAACTTGAGCCTCCCTGTCAGTTTTGCTTTATATCCCAGCATTCTCATGTTCTCAAGGCTGTCGGTGACCATTACAGGAGGTTGGTGGAAGTTTATATAATAATATAACTTGATTCATTGGAGGTGAACCACCAGTCTTGTTTAATTGTCACCATGGCAATGTGCTTTTCAACACCTTGTTTTGATTTTGCACCAAATAGCTGTCTTTACCAGAGTAAGCCGAACATGGAAACGTGGATATTTTTGTAGGCTGTCCCTGGCCGTGCCTGCGTAACTGCTGTAATCGGAGTGATAGTGACTTTATCCAATTACTTCTTGTGGATGAGCTCTAGCATTTTTATTAGAGTGCTGCCATGTCCTTCAGATGTTCCTATTAGCTTGCCAGACAATTTCATAACAGTTCAAAACTCTCTCTAGCAACCGCATAGCAACCATCAAAAACAGCTTAGCAACGCCCTGGCAATCTATCTCGCGTTCTATCTATCTATCTATCTGTCTGTCTGTATGTCTATCTATCTATCTATATACAGTGGTGTGAAAAAGTG